CGGCTGGGCGGAGCCTGCCTCTGCGGCGCGCGCCATCCGCTGGAGGGCGCTCTCTCCGCCCGCGCCAGCGTGCAGAAGTAACGCCAGCCTTCGCTTGGTGGGCGGAGCTGGGAAGTGGGCTTTAAACAGAGGAAGGCTGGGGGGGTAAGGCGGAAGCTGGACCTGGAATCTTGGGGAGCGCTTGAACTTTGGGCGTTTGCGTGGCTCGTGCTGCGGTTTTTGCTGGTAACTCTGTCGTAGATTGGATCGGGGCATGTCAGCTCCCGCTCTTAGACACTGGTTGGGACTTGGTATTCTGGGCGTCAGGGTTCGCACGAATTAGCCAACCACGTTTTCGCATCGCGGTTGTGTGAATGCAACCAATGCGGTTGATTTCGTTCACCAAAGAAACCGTGGTTTACCGTGTGGGTAAGAGGTTCTAGAGAAGTAATCCCGGCAAATATCCCCAAGGAATAAGTCAGGTCGTTTTGGGTGGAAGGAGAACGAAGAATTTAGGAAAGCACGAAGACTTTTGCAAAGTTCAGTAAGCTATTTCATTCTGCAAAACCTAAATGGAACCACTGTTAGCTTCTGAATTTACACCTCTCCCATTTTCTGAAAAGCAGCACCTACAGCCCTCGTGGAAAATGTCAGTTAACGTGAATGCATTTGTCCTGTGAGCCAGGTGATGCTCCCCGTTCCCTCTTAGAAGTGTTATCTGTAGATTTTCCTAAAGTATACAGTATTCTTATTCTTCTGGCTTCCCTTTGTGATACTTCCATAGCATTCAAAGCATAGCATTCAACTCTGTGGCTCTGTGTGAGTTTGGATGTGGAGTTTTGTTTTCTACTCTGCAATTATTTATACATCCTAGCCACAGGAAAGCAGGAATCCCCTTTTCTCTGGGAATTGTTGCAACAGATGTAGCTTGAAGCATTTGTTGGTGTGTGCTTAATGCTATTTGGAATTAAATCTGTGCTATTTTAACTAGAATACCTAAAAGAAAATATCTTCCCTTTTAGCCCAGGATTACATGTGAAAGATGGTGTCTCTCTATCGCTCCTTACTGGTGCCCACTCGCTTAATGTTGAAGGCCTCCAACATTGTGGTGCAGTTAACTCTGTATGGTGCTGGTTGTATTACTGCTCTTTTCTACTGTATGTGGGCATTGTGGCTGATGCTTACTAAGGGCCCCAGTCAGGTGTTCCAGAAGACTCAGAGGCTACCACCAGAGAGTCTCACTGATTCCTGTTATGGTGAACACAAGTATCTGACCCTCAAGGTGAGTCTGCTTAAGCTAAAGGTAGAGTTCCTCACTGAGAACTCATTAATCAAGGTTCACCCAAGATGTGAAGGTAAGATCTTGGAGGATAATGCATTTGAAAGGCTGGGAGGGGTGTAACAAATTGCCTTGAGCCTTGATTGTCAAGCATAATATATTTTGAATGGCAGCACTTTTCAAGAACTCAGGAAAAGAACCTCATCATAACTTTTTACCCAGTTTCTACCTGTAGATTGAACCTGGACTCTGCAGGCAAAACGTGCTCTCTCACTGAGTTATGATCCTTGGATAGCAATGTGTAATTTTCCTTTTTCTCTGTCTTTGGCACATTTGAGCAGTCAGGGGTACGGCTCCACTATGTTACAGCTGGTGAAGAAGGGGCATGCCTGATGCTTTTTTTGCATGGATTTCCCCAGAACTGGTAAGTCTTGCTTTGGTGTGTAGTTGTAGAACATGATCAGGCAGACAGTGGTTGTCTTCATATGGCTTATTAAACCAAAGAGCTTTGTGCACTACTGCGTATTAATTAAGATGGGGAGCCCGCCATGTCTGAACTCAAAATGGCCACTAGTTTAGGTTGGGGGTAAAGCAAACTTTTAAACTGAGGATTGACATAAGTTATACAGCCCAGTGTGCAGGAATCCAGAAGTACAATCGTCTTGGATTTGGACGATGGTGAACATCAATCTTTTATTTAGATTGAATGCATGGTAAGATGGAGGTATATCTGTACTCAATAAATGAGCTTCTGGGATGAGTGTGTAATCATGTCTATAGCCAGAGAGAAGTTATGCGTCTATCATACACATGCAGATGACAAATGTAAAAGAGGGTACATGACATAACTGGGAATAGGAAATGACCCAGAGAGAATGGTGATATTCAACTACTTGGAATTCCATTTCTAAAATCCACTGTAAATCACTGTCAGGTCTTCAACTTTAAATTACAACTACAGAATGCACCATTTATTTAATGTTAGTTACATTTCAAATGAAATGTAAAACATATGCTAGGTGGAATATATAATTCCTAATCAAGTGATCTGGAAGGTCAGTGTGAATGACATCAAGTTAAACTAAGGAAATACGTGATGGCAAGGGAGCCTTTTGCTGTACTTTTCCTTACCTCTGTGTGGTTTGGGTGTATATTACACAGGTTTTCATGGCGCCATCAACTGCAGGAGTTCAGCCAAGCCTTTAAGGTGGTGGCACTCGATTTGAGGGGCTATGGCTTTTCTGATGCACCACTGACTTGTGAGTGCTATCACAGGGATGTTCTTTTGGAAGACATACATGGTGTCATCAAAGCTCTGGGCTCCAGTGGAAAAGATGGTGAGCTCAGGAACAGTTTTTCTGGCTGGAGAGTCTGATCTGCTATAACAATGGCCATTATCTGGAAGCTCCCTGTTCTTGGGTGGAGGTGGGGGTAGGGAGGGCACACCTACTGTTTCCTACCTGGCTAAGTTTTCAAAAATATTTTGAGGATACTTATGGGAGCTTTTTAGGACTGTGATTTGATGGCTATGGTACTTGTCCATACTCTTTTTTCCCTTGATGTTTTCTGTTTTGTTCTTTAGAGGATCCCAAGTGCATCCTGGTAGGTCATAACTGGGGAGCAGTAATTGCTTGTGAATTTGCTACCATTTACCCTAACTTGGTGGAGAAACTGATTGTTATGAATGGTGTTCCAGTACATGTTCTCTTTGGTAAGGCTTGTGTTCTTCTACGTCTTTGGGTTCACCGTAAGGGATTCCTTACTCAGAGGTCATTGGCCATTGAAATTGTATAGTGAGTGGTCTTGGGATCTGGCTGGACTATCCCACAGTATGACTATTTGTGGAGGAAGGAGGCCTTTTCCAAATCAAGTATTCTATCTCAATAAGCTATTGATTAATCTATTTGTCATTTCCAGAGAGGTCTCTGGTCCAAGTTACTAAAAATGCACAGCATGAGTATGGCACAATTACATGTGGGAAGGTAGCTGTGGCTTGGAGGCAGGCAGCCAGGAGATAATAGGCACCTACAGATCCAGCTGTTGGTTCACGTTGGCAGCACTTGAATTCAGCAGCTGGGAAGGAGGGAACTGGGACAGAGCTAAGGGGCAATCCCTGCTTACACTGGGAGTAGATGCCAAGAGGAAATGAAGTGGAGGCCGAATAGCAGTGCTGGTGCTGCCCAGGAAAGAAAGGCAGCACGGATGACTCAAAGCAGGAAATGGGAGCTGATACCTTGTGCATGGCTAATTCCTGAAGGAAAAGCTCTGAGGTTGCCAGAAGGGGCATCGTATTGAGGACACCAGACCCTGAAGATATTCTGATTGCTGAGTAAGCACCCATTAGGCCCACTGGGATGCTGGAGTGGGGATAAGGCAGAATGAGAAACCCTGATGGGTAGTGCTCTCCCTCCCCATGAATTTATGGGTTGCGAAAGCTCTAGCTTCTTTCTAAACTGTTGAGAAATGCTTCAGACAACTTCAGAGTAGTCCCTCTGAGTCTGTAAATCAAGCTTTTCATCCCGTTCAGGAATGCAAGCCTTCCTTGGTAAAGAATTTGAAATAAGAAGAGGGAGGAGGGTTTGAAGCATGCCGACCTTCCTCTCCAGCAATGGGTTTCTGTAGAGTAAGCCCTAAAATAGGATGGGCCTGCTTAAAATGATAAAAACTCTCCTATACCAAAGGAAAGAAAGAAAACAATCTTCAAAAAGGATAACA